TAGTGCGGTTGCCTTAGCCAAGGAACCAAGAGATCATGGGAGATCCAGACACATTGATAGAAAATATCACTTCATCATACATCGAATAGAAGAAAGAATCCTCGTGGCAAAGAGGGTATCATCGGATGAGAACCCAACAGATCCCCTCACGAAGGGACTGAGTAGGGTTAAGCATCTCCAGCATGCTCGGAGCATAGGGCAGTAGTTGGATAAATTATGAAATGTGTAAAGTCTAATTGACATTAGATGATGAATAAAAGGTGTTTTATTTATGAGTAAAGTGTTGCTATCTCTTGTCGATTGTTTACTATATTTCTTTTTTCATGTTTTGACTTCCAGAATAATTATGTTTGGTATATCATATTATTCAAACCTCCACAGTCGGTCATATGTCGGAAGTAGGTATGAATCAAGATTGTCATGATTGGTTGCAGAGGTCTAAGGTGTTGGACATGGCTACAACAATCATGAGTGCTCATAAGTTCTGAGCATTGGACTCAACCCACGCTTACTGGAATCACTTCATGGAATTTTATCTCGAGTGATCGTGAGACGGTAATATCATATAAGTCTTCAAACCTAGAGATATGATTTGTTACTTACGAGTTGATTATGCATTGATTGTACGAAAACACATTGGTAACTTGATGTTATAAAACGTGCCTTTGTGTATAATTCAATGAGTGGTAGAACAAACATATGAGTTGAATTTTATCTGTTCCTTCTAGGACTAGAAGCTGATATCTGGGCCCCTCGATGATTGTGTTTTGACCTATGTACCGGGCCCGGTCAGAACTAAATTGATGTGTTCAGTTAAGTTCTATGTCAAACAAATCGGAAATCGGGAAACAGATGTTGGACAATAAGTAAGACCATGTTCCATGTATTTGTCCGAATGATATCTTGAGCAGAGGATTATATGATCACTTATCTAAAATGGCGCGTTCTAGTTCAACAGAGTTTAAAGAGCTACGATTGCTGGTCGGTTCCTGAAGTCATACTTGCAACTATAGTTATTAGACTTATCCAAGTGGGAGACTGTTGGATATAGTGTCTAAGTCCATAACTATATTTGGTATGTACTTGACCCGACCCGACATGGTCCATTTGGGTTGCACTTCACCCGAACAATTTATGGATAATATTTGAGAATAGTACAAGTTATGATTTATTAATATATTATAAGTTCTAATATATTAATATAAGATCCTATTATTTGATTAGTATTGATCTATAATTAATCTAGGATTAATTTAGAGATCAAAGATATTACTAATTAAATATGGGCTTCTATATTTCTATAGTGTGGGCTATTGCTTATTTGGAATGGGCTAGGCTTGAATGAAAAAGTCCATGGATACTCCATGGAGCTTTCACCCATGGATCTCATGGAAATGAAGAGACATGGGTATTAGGGTTTACATGGATGTAACCCTAATCCACCACACTATATAAAGGAGGCTTTGGTTCTAGAAATGATACTAGTTGACACTTGTAGAGGTGAGGGCCGATTTCAAGATAGTAGTGACTATTCTCTCAAAGTTCCAAGTTTGTGGTGATTTGTGATTTCCATTTGAGGCATTCACATTATTGGTGCTAGGCTCTAAAACTCCAAGCAATCAACTACTACTACAAGGTAAGTATTTCTACTAGCTTTATTTGATTCGTGTTCCCCATGCCATGCTAGTTAGGATATGAACCTTGGAAAAATAATTATTTGCATGTATCTTAGACAAACATAGATTCAAGGTTTATTAGGGTTGCATGTACACTTAGGAAGTGTTAGAATGCTCAAAACCCATCAGCATCAACCTGAGGCTCCTTACTATCAACAGGCTTGTTATTGTCAACAAGCATAACAAAAACCAAATCAATCAGCCCAAACTTTCTATAAAATGTTGAACCAAGTGAGCGAGCCTTTATGGGACGAGTCTAAAAAAGCTTCCACACTCTCCACCACCACCAGATTGTTGAACTGGAAATCAAAGTGCAATGTATCAAACTCTTCATTTGATAGATTAATTCCTATAATCAAAGACAGTCTACCTATAGGTGAGAAGCTTCCTAACAACTTTTATGCAACCAAGAAAATGTTGAAGCCATTACAACTTCCTTCACAATGAATTCATGTGTGTATAAACCATTGCATGTTATTTTATGGATATCATGCTAATCTGGATCGTTGTGTAGTATGTAATGAAAGTAGATACATGGAAAAGGGCAACAAGGTTCCTAATTTGGTCATGAAGTACATTCCTATTGGACCTAGACTTCAAAGGTTTTTCTATTCGAAGAAGACGGCTCAACATTTGAATTGGCACTCAGATCATCCGACAGATCATGAAAAGATGATACATCCTAGTGAAGGTCGAGCTTGGAGTCATTTTGATGAAGTTTTTCCTGATTTTGCACATGAGATATGTAATATCCGACTTGGGTTGTGTACCGATGGGTTTAGTCCAAATAATTCAAATGGGAGTCCGTATTCATGTTGGCTAGTGTTTATCACAGTATAAAACCTACCTCCTTGGTTGGCCTTAAAAACTCAACCCATATTGCTTCCTTTGATCATTCCTAGGACGAAGAATCCTGGATAAAATTTGGATGTTTTTCTACAACCTTTAGTGCACGAGTTGAAGATGTTGTTCATAGATGGCATTAAAGCTTATAATGCTCATCAAAGGGAAAATTTCCATATGAGAGTTGTATTGATGTGGACAGTTATTGATTTCTCTGCTTATGTAATGTTGTCCGGATGGAGCACACATGGTAAGTTAGCTTGCCCATATTATTTGGATCAATCAGAATCATTCTGGATTCAAAAAGGAAATAAACATTGTTGGTTTGACTGCCATAGAAAGTATTTACACAAAGGCCACAGTTTCAAAAAAAGATAAGATTAATTTTAAGAAAAACAAGACATTGAAGAGCGAAGTAGATATTCCATACCCAACCGGAGTTGAAATTTGACAGACAGTCAAACATTTTAACACTGTTTAAGAAGGGACTCCGTATGGTCCAAATTATATAAAGCCGGATGGTTTTGGAGTGACACATAATTGGGTAAAGAGGAGAATTTTTTGGGAGCATCCCTATTGGCGTCATTTGTTGGTCCGACATAACCTTGATCTGATGCATATCGAGAAGAATGTGTTTGACAATATGCTTCATACAAGTATGGACACCCCCAAATCTAATGATAAATTGAGTGCAAGACAAGATCTTGAGATGTTGTGTGACCGTCCTCTTCTAAACCCAATCCGGGACAATAAAGGCAAGGCTTGGATCAAGAAAGGAGACTACACTTTAGAGAGGGTCGATGTTAAAAAAATTTGTGCTTGGCTGAAAAAGCTGAAATTTCCAGACGAATATGCATCGAATATAGGGAATTATGTGAACATCAGAAATGGCAGTATTTACGGTTTCAAGAGCCACGACTGTCACGTCTTTATGCAATGGTTGCTTCCACTTTCTATTAGAGGGTTTGTTCAAAATATGGTATATGAGGCCATAACAGAGTTATGCATGTTTTTTTGACTATTATGCTCGAAAACATTGCATATGGAGGACTTGTATAACATGAAACGTAATATTGCTCAAACCATCTACAAGTTAGAGAAAATATTCCCTCCTAGTTTCTTTTATTCCATGGAAAACGTAATCATACATTTAGCTAATGAAGCAATTCTTGTTGGTCCAGTGCAATACAGATGGATGTATCAATACGAGAGGTAATCATTTTGTTTGTAATATTAAGTATTAAACTTTTACATATTCTTTTTAGTATTCATAACACGTTCCTGATAATTTCTAAGTATAGAAAGTTGGGGATAATAAAAAGAAGAATTAGGAACAAAGCAAGGGTTGAAGGTTCAATCATCAATGAACATCTAGTGAATGAAATCGCTACCTATTGTTCTTTATATTTCGCCCCCACGGTTGAGACACACCATAATCAAGAGCCACGAAATTTCGCACCACAACATGACAACTCTTCAAGTGGAGATCTATTAAGTGTATTTGCCTTTCCATCAAGAAGATTACATGAAAAGGGTGGAAAGAAAAGACTCTTCAAACATGAAGAAGTTCACAAAGCACACACTTACATCCTACTAAACTGTGCAGAAGTTGCCCCTTTCATCCCAGAGTTTGATCGAGCAGCCCAAGCATCATATCAAAATGAACGAATTTTAGTACTTAGAGATAAATACTTTGCATAATGGTTTAAATACAAAGTAAGTAAAACCGATTCAATCATACTTGTTAATCTTTGTGTTTTTTTTCAACAAACATTTTGCATATATGCTCTTTACTGTAGGTAACAAGGGACTCAACCGATGGAAGTGCTAAGCATTTAGAACCTTTAGAAAATGGACCCTCGAATAATGCTTGGTCTTACAATGGCTACTTTGTAAATGGTTATAAGATCCACACACAAGAATATGGTAAAGGACGTGCAACAAATAACTATGGACTATGCGTGAGGCCGAAGATGTATAATGGCGAAGAGTCAAACTACTACGGCTTATTGGATGAGATCCTAGAGATTGACTATTATGGCATTGGGTGCTCGACTGTTGTACTATTCAAATGCACTTGGTTTGATAATATCAGTGGTGTAGTAGTTAACAAGAATAAATTGGTTGATGTTAAACCTAACTCTCATATTCAAACTAATGACCCTTTTTGTTTGGCATCACAAGCGGAACAAGTACTTTATACACCATATCATGCGGTGACAAATGAAATAAAAGATCTTTGGGCAGTTGTCAAGACAAAACGAAGAGGGGTATATGAAGTCACCGAAGCTGAAACGGAAGTTGCGCTTGATGGAAGCACTGAAGCAACTGGAGTATTTCATCTTGATGAGCGGTTTTAGTTACCAAATGAAGTAAATGTTAGTGAACGTTTGAACCTAGCCGCAAATAGAACTAACTTTGAGCAAATATATTCCGATAAGAGTGAGGGTTTTGAAGCGGAAAACCAAGAAAATGATACAAATGAAGATGATAGAGACGAACCAGTTTATTTTGACTACTATGATCCAGATGTGGACAAATGTTTGTAAGTTTGTTTTATGTTATATGGTGTATACACTTTAATATATTTGTTATCTTGTTTTACTTTTAATTTATAATATGGTATGTATACGCTAGTCTATTTGTTATTTTTCATTATCATCTAACATATCTTATTATTTTTTATATATAAACGCAGCATGTCGGATAAAGGCCTAGCATGTAACCTTTTTACGGTTCGTCCTTCGTCGGGTGGTAAGCCATCTTATTTGCTTGACCCTAGTGGCCTTTAACGCATCCCTATTACAGGTGGTTCTGTACCAGGAGCCAGGTCATCACCTTTTCCTGATCCTAGTGGCCTTCCACGCATCCCTCTTATAGGTGGTTCTGTACCAAGAGCCAGGTCATCACCTTTTCCTGATCCTAGTGGCCTTCCATTCATCCATCTCACATGTTGTTCTGTACTAGGAGCCAGTTCATCACCTTTTCCTAATCCTAGTGGCTTTCCATGCATCCCTCTTACAGGTGGTTATGTACCAGGAGCCGGGTCATCACCTTTGCATGATCCTAGTGGCCTTCCATGCATCCCTATTATAAGTGGTTATGTATCAGGATTCGGGTTATCACCTTTACCTGATCCTAGTGGCCTTCCACCCGGGGTTTTATATCGGGAGCCAGGTCATCGTCTGGCCCTAATGGTCTCCCATGCATACCTTTTTCGGGTGGCGTTTCATGCAATTCAGTTAGGACGGCAAGGTCAGGATTCTCAGGGAGTAGTAGCATGGGTGACATAAATACCCACATGGCCTTGACTGATGCTATAGTAGATACATGGGTGGTACAGAATGTTGGGAATGGTGTTGCATATGGTTATGAGATGACAGGCAACAATGAAGACCCTGCTAGTGATTTTTTCTATAATGGGCCTGAGCATGAAAATGAGCCTGAGCATGGGCATGAGTCTGTGCATGAGCCTAAATCACCAATGGTTCATACGCCCCTTTATTCGGGTACACACGGTGGATCAAATGATGCAGATTCGAATGCCTCTCATAGGCCATTTATCACACGAAAGTGGTACAAGTAAGTCTTTTTTTAATTATTATAAACATACAATTTTTGATGTTATAATTATCCTTATATGGTTATTTCAATATTGTAGGTTTGGGAGACAAAGTATTCATTGGGTGATCTTAAAGATATTTTGGCAGTCTATAAATGAACCTTGGATTACTATAGACAAAATCCGAAGGAAGTTGTCACTCAAATGTTTGAGCGTTTCAGGGTAATATATTAATTATTTATTTTTAATATCTATTTCTCATTCACTGTTATTTTGCATTTTAAACTTTTACTTTTTATTTTTACAGACTCAATACAGGTGGGATCCAAATGAAAAAGGGATAATTCGTGAAGGTTTTGAGAATACACTGAAAGATCGCTACAGGGGTAGAATGAGGGATGCTAGGGAAGCATCAATAAATTCTGCAAGAAAAGCTGGCCACGTTATCGCAGATATTAATGATAACTTTGAGATTCTTGCAAATTACAATCCTGTTGAAATACATCGAGATTTTTGGCGATGTTTGTGCATGGCAAGGAATCTAATACATTATTGCTTATTTTATTGTTTTTTATTTTGTATTCTAATTATATATATATATATATATATATATATATATATATATATATATATATATATATATATATATTACAGAAATGGGACACAGATGAGTGGAAAAAGTTGTCCAAAAGCGGAAAGAAAAACCGTAACACTGATTCTGGTGGGCAGCTAGACATACGGGTGGTAGCGTTGGATTTGAGGAGCACCGTCTTAAATTGGTAAGTAATCCTAATTATAGGATTTAGTGATACTTTTTTCTTTCAACACTAATTACATCAATTATGTTGTGTCGTTTATATAGAAACAGTTGACAGGTGAAGACCCCCCAGTCATTGATCTTTATTATAAGACACATCTTACCGCCGAATAAAAGAAAATATATTTTGGGGGAGATAAAGAGGCGCCAGTGGATTTTGTGAATGAGACATCTAGGGTGATGATCATAAGTTGTCTTTATTTTTTTATATATTTACTAATATTAGTTTTTACTTTTTAGTACAATAACAAAAACTTTCTTTTGGTATATTGTAGGATTCATAAAACACAGCCCTATCTCAAAAATATGGTGATGATCCGACTCAACATAATGGGAATGATCCTGAATTGTCGACCCAAACACAATTGCTTAAGAAAGGCGGGAAACAAAAAGGTCCTATCTATGGGGCATGATACTCGGATCTTCACTTTCTGATGACAGGTGCATATTCTTATGAGTCAACTTCAGCTTCTGCTAACTTTGCATAGTCACAACAGGAGGTACTATTATTTACATAATATATTATAGAGAAAAAAAATCAATTAAAAAGGTACTTAATATGGCTGAAAAAAATGTATTCATATTAGTAAGGTACATTGTTGTTACGGGTGAAAATTGAAATATGTTGTCATTATTAATATTAGGTAAAGTGTATTGTTATTATTATTGAAAATGATACTATGTTGTTATTATTAAATTAGGTAAAACATAATGCTATAATGGGTGAAAATTATAGTATGTTGTTATTACTGATATTTGGTAAAGTAAATTGTTGTTATTGATAATAATTTAAGTACATTGATATTATGGATTGAAAATGTAAAGTACAATGGTATAATAAATAAAAATATAGTATGTTTTTATTATGCATATTAAAAGTTATTATTATGGATATTAAAAACAATGTATATTTTTATTATCAATAGTGTGTTATCATATTGAATTAAAAGTAAAGTACATTGTTATCATGGTTTAAAGTTGAATTACATTTACTAACTACATGTGTTTGTGTTTCTATATTTAGGTAAATGAGTTGCGACAACAAATGTCAAACATGGAAGAAGCCATGGAAGAAAAGCAAAGTGAAATGAATTTGCAAATGCAACAAATGCGAAATGAAATGGAATTGCAAGTGCAACGATAATTGGCGGCCTTTGTAAAACAAATTAATCCGTCCGGTAATCCACCAAGTAGTTCTTAGTTTTCGTTTCAAAACACTAAATTGATGTTATGGTATTGACTAGTTCTTAGTTTTTGTAATGGTATCGTAATTGTATTTTGAGTATTTGAATGTATGACTAGTATGTTAATGACTATTTTAATATTAATGAATGTAATGGTATTTGATTATTATTTTAATTATTTATTTGGTTTTTTTAGCAGAAAATTTGGATTTTTTTAAATTATAAATTAACATGGCAATAGATTTTTGACTGAATTGTAGGAAATAAATATTCTGTAGGAATTATAAATTTAATATAGTAATAAAAATTGGTAAAAAATTCATAGAAAATTTGTAGGAAATAAATATTCAGTGGGTATTCTGTAGGAAATAAAATCCAATAAAATCTGTAGGTATTCCGTAGGAAAAACTGTTGGTAGGTAATCTGTAGGTAAAATAGTTGGTAAGTATTATGTAGGAAAATCAGTTGGTAGTTATTCTGTAGGAAAATGTATTGGTAGATAATCTGGAGGTAAGTAGTTGGTAGGTATTGTGTAGGAAAATCATTTCGTAGGTATTCTGTATGTATTTTGTAGGAGTTTCGTAGCTAAATAACTTCGTAGTTAAATTTGTAACAGAATATTCCATAGGAAATGCATAGGAACGTTTGTAGCTAATTTGTAGGAAAAAATTACCCACGAGGGTTTTTCCTACAACCCGTTTTTTTGTAGGAAATCTGTAGGTAACGCTTTATTCCTACGGATTTACTACCAATTCTGTTGTAGGTAATTACTTAGTTTTCTAGTAGTGGGAAGACAAAGATCTAGTCTCTAGCAATGGAATTTGGGTTGGGCATGTTATGTATGATTTGTTTGGGCGCGTTATGCGTATGCATGGAGTTTAAAATTTCAAACTAAATGGTCATTGTTTTAATTTCTAAAAAGTTGACCAAATTTTCGTAGATAATTAAAACAAATGATCATTGTGGTGAATATCCAATAACCCAACCAAACTTTTAAAAGCAGAATTCTAAAGATTCCCCAGGAAAATAGAGATGTATGTCTCTTATATATCCGTATTACGTTGTGAAAGTATTGTTGATTTGTTTCGTCTTTTCATAAGTACACCATCACTTTATGTGCACTTGAAGTTTCGAGTTAAGGTTGCATCCATCAAGCGTTTAGCATGTAATTAATTAATCATCATCTGTTTGGCATAAATTAGCACCTCTTTTGACATTGAAGCGACGATTTTTACCAACCTTGGGTGCACGCTTAGACGTCTCCTCATGTCACGACAATGTTTCTTCGAGTTCTTTTGTCCACCACGTACACAATTACCAACCATATCGTAGTTTATTTCACATCCTCACTGGCCCATGTCTTTTGTTAGGCAAAGAACCGTGGTTAAGTTAATTTTCAACCGATGGTGACAATGGCAAATGTGGCGTTCTTGTAGTGGTTGGAGGTTATTGCATCAGTTAGGTTTTTCCAGCTTCATATTCCAACCAAACCTACTCACGATGGTTCTTTCTTTTTGACCATTAATCTTTCCATCAATAACTAATAATGACCTTTCTATTCATTATTGTAAGATCATTTAAACACAATTAAATTACATGTAAAACCAAATATCATAAATTTAAAAAGAAACAATCTATCTTACGTACAACTTATCCAAATCTCAACATTCAGTTTCTCCAACAACTTGTTAGTAGGGTTATGTCAAAAAAATATATATTTGATATCTGGGTTTATGCATCTTTAAACAAGATTTTCCTGGGGTTTACAACTATAAATTTGAAGGAATGTTTCGTTTAGAAGCAAAAATTAATCTAAGCTACTATTTGGAAGTACTACTGAAAGGTGGTAGTGGTTGTGGTGGGTGGAAAAGTGGGACAAAGGAGCCAAAAGCAAAGATGGTTGATTTGGGTGGGTGGTGCGTCAGTAGCCGGTAAATAGACCTAGCAAAGTAGCAGCCAAACGTGGATAAAGGTCCAGGAGGATCTTCCCAATTGAGAATGTGCTAAGTCTTCTTTCCCTATGTCTCAATCTGTTCGTTATTATTACAAATAGTCATAATAATTGAACTACATCGAATCAAATTTGTTTTTAAAACGTTTCCTACTGATTTTTGCCATCTTTTATCAATGAAAAAGTTGACCAAGAACAGCAAAAGGGATTTGTGAATATGGTTGATTTTATGGAGTGGACCAATATGTTTGTACTTATTGATCGGAAGGTTTATTTATACTTAATTTAGGTGTACCCAAATATATTAGTCTATACTAAGCTCACGTTCAAAATCAGCGGTTGGAAGTGAAATTAATGGAGTTTATCTTAAGCCAATTTGTTTTGAAGATCTAGATTTTATATAATTTGTTCATATCATGGTTAATATCAATTAGTACAAAAGGCCATTGGTGTAATCTATTTTTGCATGAATGAAATAAATAAGTGTCTTGCAATGTAAAGTTGCAATCAAGAAATGGCCCATATTGTACAGTCCATTATATCTAGGTGGTAGCCACAACATGTGGATATCTTAAAAAGCTTTACCAAAGCTTTTAGTTTAAAATTATACTTGTAATGTTATATATGTAATTAAAAATAACAAAAGCATATATATTAACAATCTAATATTTAAAATAACTTTTACTAAGATCAAATTATCGAGTTTTTTTGGATTTTAAATCAACACCCCTTAGAAAGAGTAAGCTCGTCTAGCCTTACGTTACCATCTCACTTTTCTTTAGGACGTCGTCTCCACCTTTTGTTTATCAATCGTCATTGAATTTACCCTTATTATTGTGTCTCTATGATGGTAGCCTCCTTTAAAAATGTACATACCACCTCAATCGTCCTTCCGTGAATTCCTTTGGTGGTCGTTCTTGCTCGACAACATTGAAATCCATATATCACGGCAAACCTAATAGCGGCCTATAAAATTTCCTTTTAGTTTTATTGGGACCTTGGTGTCATACAAGATTCCTGAGGCTTCCCTCCGTTTTACTTGGAGCTTTCCTTCGAGATAAGACCTTCCTCCGTTATCACTACTAGAAAATAATGGTTACACCTACGAAAAATGCCTACGGAAAATTTTCATAGGTAATTAATAAAAGAATACCTACGGAATGGGATGACTTAATTTAGTAACGAAAATGTGATGGAATAGCGACGGAAGCAAATCCGTCGGAAATCAATCAGTAATTATCGACAGAATATCTACGGAATAGCAACAAAATAAATATGGTCAGATTAGCTACAAAATGCTACGAAATACCGAAGGGTTTTTTATAATTTCCAATGTTGTTGTTGTTGTTGTCGTTGTCGTCGTCGCCGCCGCCTCCATCTCCATCGCCATTGTTGTTGTTGAGGCTACTATAGATGTTGATGTTGTTGTTGTTGTGGTGGTTGTGGTGTTGGCGGCAGCAATGGTGATGGTGGTGGGGGTCATCTTTGTCGTCGTCGTTGCCATCATCGTCGTCGCCGTCGTCGTCGTCGTCATCATTATTATTATTATTATTATTATATTTATTATTATTATTATTATTATTATTATTATTATTATTATTATTATTATTATTCAAGTATTAAAACTTATTTTTTGATGATTCGTATTTTTTTATATATTTATCATATGTATAGACATATATAATTGTATTAGGTATACATGCACTCATATAACACCAAGAAAATAAATTTGAAAAAACTATGTTGAGCACATGAACAATTAAAGATGATATTAACAGTAATAATAATATTTAACACATGAATAAGTGAAAGTATAGCTATGTGTGTATTTGTATGTATGTATATGTATATGTGTATATGTATGTATGTGTATGTATTTGTATGTATATATGTATATGTGTATGTTTGTATGTGTGTTTTTATGTATGTATGTGTGTATTTATGTTTATGTATTTATACGTGTGTATGTATATATGTAT